GTCAGTTCGTTCTAAAAGAAACGTGACAATGGCAGCCAGAGATGTGTCACCTTTTTGGGCTGGTCCGAGATACGAGTGATGATTGCACCGAATGAAAATAAAGTTCTTATATTATAATATTGAAAATAAAGTTTTATCTTTTGAATAAGTACGTACTTATTCGGAGTCGTTATCACTCGAATCTTTATATGTGTTATAAATTAATGCCTTTTGTTGTTAAATGAATAAAGTACTTTATAACAATAGATGATTTTTCTTGTACGATCTTTTACATAACTTTTTAATAATAGTTAATAAATATATATTATATCAATTATATAAAAAAAATACGTGTGGCACTTGGTGACTGCCGCGGTAAAGCTATTGCATACCATTTTTTATCAACTTATGCAATTATAATTATTTATTTATTTTATTTATGCAGTTAAGTCTTTGATATTAAATCAAGTTACACTTTTTGAGCATGGTGACCGATAAGAAAACAATTTTAGAGAAGTTAATATTGTTTAAAATATTTTTAATATTTTACAATACATGTAGGTTACTCAGGAATTTTTATCATTGAGTTAGCAGCTAGTGTACACGCATACGTCTAGTCGCACGCACACAAACACCGTGCCGAAGTCTGCCGAGTGCCGAAGTCTGCCGAACTGAAACGACGTTAGACGATGCACGGCTTTCAACGCCACACCTCCGTGCCCGTCGGAGTGGGAAGCGTGAGGTTTTTTTCGTTACGGAATTTCTGGATTCGGTCCCCGCGCTCAAGACCCGCGATAGAAGCTATGCAATAGCTTAGTAATAAAAATCATTATAAATAAAGAAAGTACTACATATAAATGTGCTATATATTGAATGTTTTTCTCCGTTTTTCTCAATCGATTTGGCACATACTATAGAATCTATTGGCTACAGCCAATAGATTCTATAGTATGTGCCAAATTGGCTACAGCCACTCACCATCAGTTGGGCTGTATTTTCGTTTGACAACCTTATTTCTTCACAATATTAGGGCTCATGAAAATTCTAACTCTAAAAAAGTAAATGAAAAGAAATATTTATGTAGCGAAGCGCAGACATTCCAAAAGTAAATATTGTAGTATTTTTAACTGTCCGTTCATAGTCGTTTGGTTTTTACATTCAGATTATTTTTTTCATTTCTTGTAGAAGAACAACGGAAGACCGCAGTAAATAGCACGCACTCGCCAACCCTAGTTTCAAAAAAGGCATTTAATTGAAACGCTCAGATATGTCCCTGCTAGTTAATTTAAATAATTCATGATATTAAAATGTCTCTGTATTTTTATTTTTCGTGTATACGTTTTGAAAATATGTATACATAAGTTATTTAAATTGCGAGTACTTCAAATTTATTGGTAATTTACTGTCCACTTTATACAGCGTCAAGGTGATTGTATTTTTGTAACACTTTAAATTTTAACCTTCTTTTAAAAGAAAAACCTGCATTTATTTTATTATTTTTTAACATAACTATTTTTGTGTTAAGCTGACTTCTAATTCTAAATTATATATTGCTTTTAGCAGGAAGCTTTATGTGTCATCATCATTTTACTGAATTGCATGGGTAAACTTGGTAACATTGGTAAAATTGGTAACGTGCGTTAATAGATAGGAGACCGGCAGCGCTATTACGTATCTCGCAGAAGACTAAAGATAGCAAAATTTACACAAGATTTGCTGATAAATCGTAAACTCGTAGTATGTGTATCTGCTTTAAACAAGCCGTAACAAACTGGCGACAGTGCTGCCTCTGTCGAACAATCCGTAAACTAAATATGCATTCAACACTCAATAGTCTTTGACATAGATTACTGTGTATATACGTCTTTCGGCGCCTCTACACGTTGGCCAACACAGTGGCGAATGTAGTAGGCAATAGCATTGGCCAACGTGTAGAGGGGATGTTTGGGCTGTACTGGTATGTATTGGAACGATGGCCCACAAGTTGGCGCGAAATCCGTGTGGTGTCGGTTTTTTACAAAAGATCAAAGGATTGTTGGCAGAGTTTGGTCGCCGCGTCCACACGTTGGGCGCTCATTTAGTTTGCTACAAGCTCCCAGAGTGATTACATGCATCTGATTTAAATTTTATATTCAAGCTTTGTAGGGTGGATGCCCCAATTACCAGCCTTTTAGTGCCAATTTCAACTTTAAACGTTCCTACTACTTTAAGTAGCGCGATTTAATTATTTTTAAATATTTAATTTTTTGTTTTAATCGATAAGCTATTTATGAAAAAAAAAATAACGAACATTTATTTACAATCAGATTATTACGAGAACAATTTTAAAATGAAAAAAAAAATGAAGCACGTCGTTTATACGTGGTAGAACCATGCAGTTATATTAGAAGTATAGTTGTAGCACGAATGGGTCGGCTCAACCGGGGAAGGATCACGCTCTCACAGATTATCAGCGTAAAATAGTAGCTTAATGATGCTATGTTTCGTATAGTGAGTGTAGAGAACCAGAGACCTTTTTAAATGAAACGGGGCATTTCATCTTAGCCCTCACGGGTGACAACGAATCTGCATTTTGATTCGTAATCGAGGATAGATGTAGATGTCTGTAGGCCACAGTAACCACATACCATCATGTGAACTGTGTGCTCGTTTGTCACTCTATCCTATAAAAAAACATCGATTTTTTTAAAATATAATCGTGCATATTTTCGAATCATCATCATCATTACAGCCATTCACAAGTCCACTACTGAACATCCTCCTCCACAGACTGCCGCAAAGCATGGTCCTGAGCCACTTTGCTCGTCATAAGTTTTTCATTTATGTTCTAAGTTATAATTAGCACCTATTATTAAGTCAGTGTTAATTATATTTATTGCTATTGTTTTTGTCTTTCTCAAAAAAAGAATTAAATAAATTATAAGGTGTTTTTTATACACATCAAATGTCTGATAGAAAAGCAAATACATGTTTTGCTAAACTTTAAAATCAAAACCCAATTTTATAACATAGACTAATCGATTATAACTTCTTTAACTTTAAAATAAGTTAATTTCTTATTAATGGTATTTATTCCAGTTTATGTTGCATGTAAAGAATAAATAAAGCTAATCGTATATCGCATATCTATTTACAGCCCCATTAATATCCACTATTCTTTTATAATTATTTTATAAAAACGTTACCCCCACACTTGGATTTTCTCCTGTATCGCTTACAAACATAAATTGCACAAGGACACACATCCAGACCCGAAACAATTATTTGTAGGATATACAAATACTTGTTCCGTGCAGGATTCAAACCCGCGGCCCCCGGCACAGCCACTCATTGCTAAGCCACTGCGCCAAGGAGCCGTCGTCTAAAATAAAATAAATTCGTCCGCACATTGGCCCGCACCGAAGTAAGCTGAACGACCTTCCAACGTGTGGACGCCGTCACCAAGTCTCGGCCAATATATTCGCTGCTACATTCGCCACTGTGTCGGCCAACGTGTAGAGCCGACATTTGACAAGTGAAGATCGCGCTATTATTTCGTATTCGTATTATTGTACGCATCGCATTTTATGAGGTATGAGCATGACGATAGCAATCACAATCAGCGAGCATTTTTAACTGTCAATCTAAGATACAGTTTTCATTGATTGCTCTTCGCTCTCTGATCGAAAAAGTTTATTGTAAAGTGTATTTGTCTTATTCAAATAATATAATAAGTTTATAATAAGTTATATAAGTTTATAGTAATGATTTCTTAAATTTACGCGAACACTACACATTGAATAAAACTATTATTTACGGATTTTATCGCGTTATTCGCGATCCTATAATCAACAAAATTAAACCCAAACTCAAGCATACCACTGCAAGACTTCGTGATACTATAAGCTCGTTTTGCGTAAATCGGACCAAAAATTAATATTAAAAAACTGAAGGTAGCCGGACTAACTATGACATTGGGACGTCAAACATCTCAGTCCCCCCCCGTGACCATGGGCGCTGTAAAGCACCCGAAACTTCGGGATAATAATAAAAATAAATTAAAGTAATTAAACGCGATAAAATCCGTAAATAATAGTTTTATTCAATTTATAGTAATATCTCAGCATCTAACCATTCCAATATTATTTGCTAGGATTGTAGAAAAGTTTGTATAAATTGATATTTCTTTGACTTCGATATGGCTGGTGCTGTTCTTTTGATTGAAGCGCCAAAAGTTGAGGGCAGAAGATATCGAAGCCGTACCACAGCACGATTGAGACGAAATCTCAGAGATCAAGCTAAATGTTTGGAACTCTCTGATTCCGAGTTTAAAGCTCACTACAGACTTTCGAAGGAGCTCTTTTAGGATTTGTGTACTGAGATAAAGCTATACATGGTCATGTCAAGAAGAAAAACAAAAATTAACGTGGTATGTAATGTAAGAATATAATATTGTTAAACACAATGTGACTAAACAAAATTTTAAAATTTTGTTTAGTCACAGTTTGATAATATTCTCATTGATTTACAGGTGCTTAAAGCACTAATTCTATGCTACAGGTTCTTATCAGAAGCCTGTGAGCATAAGTTATTTGCATGGGTTTTTGTAGCTAGTGTATTGAATGCTGTTAAAGAAGTGACAATTGATTTAAAAACATATGAAATGCTAAAAAATGAAAGAAATTACTAAGCATTACAAAAGTGAACCAAATGCTGAAGGGAAAATAATTGCATTCTTCATTTAATTTGTTTTGGATTCTCAAATAAATACGGTTTTCCTGGTTGCTTGAGGTGTATTGAAAGCAGACATGTAGCTGTGATCAGGCCTACAGAACATTAGGAAAGATTTTTTTAATAGAAAACATTACCATTTCAGGAATGTTCAAATAGGAAGTAATAATAATATTCTGCATTAATAATAGTATGTAATACTTACAAGTGGGTAATTAATATCCAGTCAATTAAACTTACTTAAATATATATAAGTGATAGTGATTTAAATATATTAAATATTGATGCTTTTTTTGGTGGTGCTAAAAATGATGCTTATGTTTGGAGAAACTCTGAAATATCACAGCATCTTTCATAATAGAGGAGAGGCTGTCTGGTTACTTGGTTTGTAGAAATACCATATAAATTATACAAAAATACTATAAAGATACTAATTCAATATTTAAGTAAAATAAATTTACAGATAATTTTGGATATCCATTAAGACCTTGGCCTTGGCTTTTAACTCCAATTGTAAATGCTGTACCTGGTAGTGCATATGAGCATTATACTAATATACCCTGTCTCACACGAAACACTGTGGAATGGTGCATAGGAGTCTTAAAAGCATGTTGGAGATGTTTACTGGCACATAGGGTACTGCATTATAACCATCACATGGTGGCTAAGATTATGAATGCATTTGCTCTCTTGCACAATATCTGCAACAGACAAAGACTGCCAGTACCTCAGTTGCCAAGCTCTGACACAATGGACGACCAGAATTGTCAAATTCCACAGCAACCATTGCAGGGTGTTGGGGTTGGTGCAGAACAACAATTCTTAGCTAATGGTCAGCAACAAAGGGAACTTATTGTGCAACGATTACGGTCTGAGCCTAGGCCATAATATTTACTAAATAAATAAATTATTAAATATACATTTTGGGGATTGTTCTAATGTAGTTAACTTTGATATTTATTAATATACTTATTACTTTGTATTAACACCAGTATTGTTAATCATTACGATTACAGTCTACTAATCGTCTGCTGAACATAGGCCACCCCGATGGATTGCCTTATAGGATTTATCTGCCTTAGTTGCCATGCTTAGCGGTTTAGCAAACACAGTTCTCCATTTCTACTTAGTCATTTTATTAAGACATCTGATTTTTTTCCATTGTAATATTGCTGTTAACTTCAACTGGAGACTTCAACGCAAAACTAGGCACAAGAGAAGACGGTGAGCTGAAGTTAGGGAAATTTGGAGTAGGGCAACGGATCCGTAGGGGCCAGCAGCTGGCTGACTTTATGGAGAAAAAGGGATTCTTTATGATGAACTCTTTCTTCCAGAAGCGGCCCCACAGGAAGTGGACCTGGTCGAGCTCCGACGGTTCGACAAAAAATGAGATTGACTTCATTATGACGATCAGACGCCAACTGTTCAGTGATGTCTCAGTGATCGCAAGGGTGAAAACCGGCAGCGATTACCGAATGGTTAGAGGCACACTGAACCTTAATGTTAAGTTGGAGAGGTCTCGTCTAATGAAGTCAACGCTCCGTCCCCCTCGTGCTCTGATCCAGAATCCCGAGACTTTTCAGCTCCAGTTACGTAACCGCTTTCAGTGCCTAGAAGATTGCAATGCAGTGGACGATATGAATGACAAGCTTGTGGTAACTGTCCATGCGGTTGGAGCTAAGTTCTGCAAGACCCGCCGCAGAAGAACACAAAAACTCCCCGATCACACTCTTAATCTCATGGCTGTTAGACGGGAGATGAGGCTGCAATCGTCAACAGATTTGACAGCATACAGGCAACTGAACAGTAGAGAACAGTAGGAGTAGGCACACGCAGCATCTGGAGTAGGTACACGCAGCGCTTGGAGTAGGTACACGCAGCGTCTGGAGCAGGTACACGCAGCGCTTGAATGAATGCAGAGGCTTGCAGGATTCCGGGGCAGTACAAAAGCTTAAGTTAACTCACGAGTAGTAAAGGATTTGCGCAAAGAGGATTTGCTACGTTTAAAGCGATAAGGTTCAGTAGGCCGTCGAATCATAGGACTCTATTCCTGCATAAAATTATTTTAATTTTAGAAAATTGCCTTGTTTTTTTTTTGTTATATTGTAAATTTAGGTATCAAAAAATATCTATTTTATACTATTAATTAAGAGGTTTGTGGGTGCTTCTGAATCGATGACCAACCAAACCCCTACGCTGGCTGTCACAATAGCAATCCGGCGAGTCTTCTAGTTCCTAACTCGTCGATCTGTCACACTACGTTGGGTTCGAGACAACGCAGTGGACGCACCCTTCGATAACGCCTACTTCAGAAACGCAACACGTATCTTCTTAAAAGGTGTTTGATGCCTGAGATAACGGGTCCACGCTAGATCCCGGTCTAGAGATCAAATATGTGGACTGTATATTTTCTTCACTTTCCCTAGCTTTAGGGTCAACACTGGGAATGAAACAGCGATTTTCTTGAAAATTCTTGAGAAATGTGATAACCGGGGTACTTTTTGAATCTTGATTTTGAACCGGAGATTTTTTCGAACTTAACTGCAGTGGAGATCTCGGACGAACTGCGAGGTAGTGTTTCTTCTCCTTACTGGAGGTCTCGAGGTGGCCCTCTTTACCCGGGCGTTTTTGGGGAGGGGGCATGGCTTTCCCGGTATTTGGTGCTGCTATGCAGCTTGTTGGTCGGGGTGTTTCCCACTACACGCCAACAAGCTAGGTGTCGGGAAAACTCACTCGTCCCCGGCGGCTCCCTCGCCGGGCGGTGAGCGTAGGAGTTCACGTGGGAGTGGCCGCCCATCAGGCGGGCGTGAATGTAGGGGTGCTATGTTCCCAGGTGTAGCTGTGGCCCGTTATCTGCGCGGTCGAATAACTGTCTCGCAGTACGGGCCACAAATTCATGGATAGACTCGATTTTAAGGTCCCTGGCTATGAGGTTATTTCTGACGTAGCGGCCTGCTCCCACGATCACTAGGAGATCCTCTATATTCTGCTGGGCTTGCAGCTTCTTACGCCGTGTGGTCGATGTCAGCGCGTACCAGGCTGGCGCTGCGTAAGTCAACCGTGAGTGGACGTAGGTCCTGTAAATAGTGATTTTTGTTTTAAGTAGGAGTGTGAATGTCGCCTCCAAAAACCCACGCCCTGGTTCTCATACAGGACGTAAGTATAAGAATTCACGCCGGCCTAATCATATTTGCTAAACAATTCCAATAAATCTGGGAAACCCTATCTCACATTAAATATTCACGAACTATAAGGAAACATCATATAACTAAACAGCGGAGTACAGGGCAACTTGGATAAACGTGTAATGCTTCTAGTTTAATAGTTTCTATCGACATCAAGTTCCTGCAGCTATTTCCGCACCGGACCATTGACGTTAAAACGAACTAACGATTTTAAAACGAAAGAATAAAAAGTAGGTATTTAAAAAAAAGTAAAATTAATTATTCGGTCAACATTAAAATTTTAAGTTGAAGTCAAAATTCCAAAGGTTGAAAAATACATGCTGAAACTCCACAATACTGGTCAATTCGAGTAGGGTGCATAAACAAAAATGGTATGAAAGGAATAAATGGCCTGTGAATTTAAACAGTATATTGCTGCGTATGCAGTATTAACCCATTACCGATTTATCACCACAATACTTCGAAGCATAAAATGGCATTATCGGTACGGTATTTATCAACTTATATGCATTCGGTTTATCTAGCATTGATATTTACGGTTTGCTGAAGGAAAAGAATACCTATGGTCACATAATATCTATTGTACCTTACTTTACTAATTTCCCCTATCATCGTCACAGTTTGTCTGCTGTGTCAACATAGGCGTCTCCCACAGGTGTCCCTATTGTTGCCACACTTGCAGGTGCTATAGCAAACGCAGAATTTTATTATTTTGTGCTATTATCACGGAGATTCTACTCATCAGTTTCAGTTCCCCGTTTTCTACTCTTAAGATGCCTACGGGTTGATATATGGACGATAAGGCTTGTATTTGCAGTGGTTCGACACTGTAGTCGAATGGCGGTATAAAACTCACTACTTTCTTACTTTGCAATCCTTTAACCATTAGACTGATTTTTACCTTTCGATAAATGATCATTGCTTTATGTCGGGAGTCAGTTAGTGGTGCAGTTATAAAATATACCGATCATTTAAGTAACATATGTCGTAAAAAGCAAACCTTCACAGGACGATCGAAAAAAATATAAGCAAATTTTTGAAATACTAAAGGTGTTATAAGCCCCTAATGCTTAGTATGTTGAAATTTTCGAGGAGTATCATATTAATAAATTAAAAATAACGTAGCTTGAATAGTTCCAAAAGTAGTATGGCTATTACAACAAAGAAAGTTGAAACTGGTTTTACTACACTCGACTAAGCATATTTAATTTAATATTTATTTATTTATTTACACTTTATTGTACTAAAGGTACAAACGGCGGACTTAATGCTATATGGCATTTTCTACCAGCCAACCGGAAAGTTAGTGGGAGATGTGTGTACTGCAGTGGGCTAGGATGAAACCTAAAAATTGATAAATTTTACATACACATACACCCCCCCCCCACACACACACACATACACATACATACCACACACACATACACACTCATAGCTCAAACTTAATTAAATATATAAGGATGTAATAGATTAAATGTTATAGATTATTTATATATTTATGTGTCAGATGAACCCAAATAACTTTACTTGTTTTAAAAATCCACTTGTTGGGGGATTTAATTATTGCTAGGGGAAGCGCATTCCATAGTCTTACAGCTGTAACAGCGAAAGAGTTTGAGAGGAAACCAGTACGGTGAGAGGGAGTATGGAGCACGAGATTGTTACGAGAGCGAAGATTGCAATCATGGCAAGAACCCAGATATTGAAACTTACATTTCAAATACTCTGGGGCCAATGGATCGTTAAGAATAGTGAACAGAGTGATAAGAATTCTAAGGCTCCTGCGTTGTGGGATATTTAACCACTTAAGTTGAGAGCGATAGAAAGAGACATGTTCATACCTTCGAAGACCGTAAATGAAACGGATAGAGTTGTTTTATTGACCAAGTATTTGTCCGCATCTAAGTAACACACAACAGCATAATCAATCATAGGAAGAATTAGCGATTGAATTAGAATTTTCTTCGTACAAGGCGGTAAGATATTTTTATATCTGCACAATTGTCTCAAAGTAGTACAAACTTTGCGGCTAACTTCCACAACATGACTGCGCCAAGCAAGGGAACAATCCAAGGTTAATCCCAAGTCCCTAACATGAGAGCTGTAAGGAGTTACCTCGCCATTATAAATCAGAGGATCGAACGATGTATGATTAAGTTTACCTAATTGACGTGCACTGCCTAAGACTATAGCTTGGCGTTTGCTTGGATTAACAGCGACCCCATACCTTCTTGACCAATTAAGAATCCAGTTAAGATCGGAGTTAATCACGGTTACAGCATTAATTTAATGGAAGTAGCATCGGCATGAGCATAGAGTTGCAAGTCGTCGGCATACATATGGTAGGAAGCACGAAAATTACAAGTAATCATGTTAATAAATATAGAGAAAAGTAAAGGAGTGAGAATTCCACCTTGCGGTTAATTCACCCCAATCGGACACCATACCATCGACCCGAATCGCCTGCTGGCGACCACGAAGATAGGAGCGAGACCCAATTCCGTGCTGATAAGGAAAAACCTATGTAAGACAAGATGGCAATGAGAATATCATGGTCAACGGTAGTAAAGGCGTTAGAAAAATCTATTAAAACTAACACCGTCAACTTTCCAAACTCCAGCCATCACGCACATCCTCTGTTATTTTTAAAAGCGCCGTTGTGGTACTATATCCAGGTCGAAATCCTGATTGGTGTTGATTCGG